CAGTATCGTACTGGACATTCAATTTGGTACAATACTTTTAAGAGCTCGTAAAGGGTCGGATTTGAAGAATATAACTTAGTGGAGTTCAGAAAATATGGATAATGCTGCTTTACCACCATCACTTGTGGTGTCATTGTGCTCAATCGCTAGGAAAGGACCCAGTGGTAGAAGATATGTGGATGCTGATTTTGTTGAGCATGCTTTCAACGTAGTAGAAGGTGTGCAATCTATCAAGGGGTCTTCTTTAAAAACATTTGGATTTGATTCTGCTTTGGGGTGTGTTACAACCCAGTTTGATAAATTATAAAATCATTATGATTTTTTTGGAATCTGAGATAATTCTACCAGAGTAGTGCTTTGAATCGTTGGAAAATGTGGAGTATTGTGTTTTGTTGGAGAAATTAATTTTTTGGTTATTATTGAAGAAGTCAATTCATTCCTTGGTGGAATTCATGTCAAAGTGGAAATTGATAGAATTTGGGTGTGACCTAAATTCCTTGTTTGAAGTATTGAAAATCCTAATTAAAGTGCACGTCAAGAAGAATTCAGTTTGGAATGCTATTGGAGTCCTATGCTAAGTTGAGGTTCTATTTTGAAAGAACATTGGGAGTTGAAAATTNGACTTGAATAAGAGTTCGGGATGAAAAAAACAATTTGGGAACAAAAAAATGTATATATTTTTCGGGCAAAATGCCTGGCGCCGCAATGCCGAGCATGGGCACCCCGGTGCCGGGGTGCCCGAAGCCCGAAGGTGGACGCCGCAGCGCCGCCCAAGCAGTTTATAGTTTTCCGAGTTTTTCTCTCCTTTTTCGTTTTGGACTTGGGTTTTGACATCCTACTTCATCAACAACTTTACTAAGAGGGTTTAAACGTCCCCTACATATTCCCTATAAATATTTATCTTTTCTATACGATTTAATAAGTGTGAGAAAATAGATTACTAGAATTATAGGATTCATTGTAATTTTCTCTCTTTTCTATAATTCTTGAATTAATAAAATCTCTTAATTCATCTGTCATATTTCTTGTCTTTATTATTCTTTTGTTTGATCTAATATTTTATTATTTGTCATATAACTTCAACAATTCATTCCGGTTGTTGGTTTCATAACAATAACAATGAAATTAGTGAGTTACCTTCCACAATTTATATTGATCAATTGCAACACACCCATTAGCTCCACCC